CAACAGTTGGGTACTCATTTTAGCGACCTCGGAAGGTTGCAGGCCTGATTCTAGCCTGAGTCCTGGCTAGTATTGAACTAACCTTGTGGTCTATGAGTGAGTGGCTGCAGTACAGGCATTTAACCACTGTGCCACCAGGTCTCCCCAACCCCAATGAGCAGGGGTAGGCAACCTTTCCCCTTTAGGGGCCGAGGGACTTCAGCTCCCAGAATCCCAGGAGCTACTGACCAACATGGCTGAGGCTGATTCTTTTCCCTTCCTAAATTTGGCTCAAGAGGGACTAGCCCTTTAAGAGATTTTGGACTTCAGCTCCCAGAAGCCTCAGGCATGTTGACCAATAGTCTGGGATTCTGGGAGTTGAGGTCCACAACCCCTTAAAGGGCACAGTTTGGGGACCACTGAGCCCTCACTCCTCCTTCTGAGGGGAAGAGAAGGAAGAGACCACTGCCGGGCCTGAGAGGGGGGATTCAGGGGCGGCCATTTTGTGGTTGCCTCTCACTCTCTGCTCCCCCAGTCGGCTGCCAAGAGTTGGTTTGCCCCGGCCTTCCTTCCCTTCCATTGGGCGGCGAAAGGGGCCGCGGCCCTTCGACTCCGCCTAGGAGGAGGCGAGGCAGGAAATAGTCCCCGACTCCGCTCGTGTGAAGCCCTCCGAAGACGCGTGTCGCCCTCGGCCTCCGTCCGGCCCCCTGGAGAGCCGCAGAGGTCGGTCAGCGGCGGGAGGGTTTCGTGCTCGGGGGTTTTCCTGCCAAAATTTGATCCTCTGAGGCTGAGAGTGTGTGACCTGTCCACACACCCATTTCCATGGCTGAGCGGGGATTCGAACCCTGAGCCAAGTCGTTTCTGACCTATGGCCACCCTATCAGGGGGTTTTCCTGACAAGATTTGGTTCTCTGAGGCTGAGAGAGAGTGTGACCTGCCCCTGGCCATGTCGTTTCTGGCAAGATGTGGTCCTCTGGGGTTGAGAGAGTGTGACCTGCCTACAGTTACCTGTTTCCATGGCCGAGAAGGGATTTGAGCCCTGGGCCAAGCTGTTTTTAATTTGTGGCCACCCTAACATGGGATTTTTTTTTTTTGCAAGATTTGATCTTCTGGGGCTGAGAGAGTGTGACCTGCCTACAGTTACCAGTTTCCATAGCCAATAAGGTTTCAAGCCCTGGGCCAAGTCATTTCTGATTTATGGTCACCCTAGCATGGGGTTTTCTTGGCAAGATTTTGTCCTCTGAAGCTGAGATAGTGTGATCTGCCTACAGGCACCCATTTCCATGGCCGAGTGAGGATTCAAACTCTGGGGCAAGTTGTTTTTGACCCATGGCCACCCTAACGGGGTTTTCCTGGCAAGATTTGATCCTCTGAGGCTGAGAGAGTGTGACCTACCCATAATCACTGGTTTCCATGACCGAGAAGGGATCTGAACCCTGGGCCAATTTGTTTCTGAATTAGGGTCACCCTATCATGGGGTTTCCTCACAATATTTGTTCCTCTGAGGCTGAGAGAGTGTGACCTGCCCAGAATCACCTGTTTCCATGGCTGAGGGGATTTGAACCCTGAGCCCCAGGGTCAGTGTACAGGAGGGGCTTGGGGGACATTGAAAGGGGCATGAGCAAATAGGAGCCCCAGTCAGATGTTTTGGGACTACAACCCACATGTGGTTGAGTGCCTTCCAGTCCTTTCAAGAGTTATGGCCACCCTATCATGGAGTTTTATTGGCAAGATTTGGTCTTCTGTGGCTGAGAGTGTGTGACCAACCCCACCACTGGCCGAGAGGGGATTTGAACCCAGGGCCAAATTCTTTATGGCTTATGGCTACCCTATTGTGGGGTTGTGTTGGCAAGAGGTGGTTCTCTGAGACTGAGAAAGTGTGACCTGCGCACAGTGACCCATTTCCATGGCTAACAGGGATTTGAACCCAGGGCCAAGTCCTTTCTGACTTATGACCTCCCTGTCACAGGGTTTCTTGGCAAGATTTGGTCCTCTGAGGCTGAGAGAGTGTGACCTGCCCAGTGTTGCCATGACCGAAGGGGGATTTGAACCTTGGGCTCCAGGGTCATTGTCCAGTATTGAAAGCAATGCTCAGGCAGGCGTTTTCCAACAAGATCCGATGTGTGTACAAGAGGGGCGGGGGGGGGGGGAAGGCATTGAAAGGCGCATGATCAGAGGGGACCAATGGCTAAAAATTTTGGGACTACAACCCACATGTTGTTTCTGACTTATGGCGAACCTATCATGGGGTTTTCTTGGTTAGATTTGATCCTCTGAGGCTGAGAGAATGTGGCCTGCCCAAACAATGAGTTTCTATGGCCAAGAAGGGACTTGAACCCTGGCTTCCAGAGTCGTAGTCCAACACTCAAACTCACTACACCACACAGGCTCTGCCACATCATCTGTAGTACTCTAACCTACAATCTATGATAATTGAAGAGGCTAGTTGGCACATATGGGAGTTGTAGTCCAAAACAGCTCAAATTCTCCTTCCCAAGCTTGCTGACCTTTCGGTACTAGCGATTCTCATACAATTTAATCACCAGCCTCCCACAACCTTGGGAGTTAGTCTGTGACTCCCATTGATGTCTAAGGATAATGGGAGTTGTAGTCCAACTCTGTCCCTAAAGCCCAAGAGCATGTGTATCTCTCTCGTTCTGTCATGGCAGCTATCTTCATCGTAGAGAGAGGCAAACTCTTCAATGGTGGCAAGTATTCTTGGTGCCCTTTTTATGGCGGAGGCGAGATTGGGAGTTTTTGAGAAAGATGTATGGTTTTGATTATATATCTTTGATGTTCCACCCTTTGGTGGAAAAGGCATTATTATTATTATTATTATTATTATTATTATTATTATTATTATTATGGGAAATCCGACCACCCCTCCCAGTGCAAAAACTCAGTGACCCTTTTACCTGTTCCCAAGAGACTTGGGTAAGGCAGTGTCAGAGGCTGGCACTTGCTATGCATGTCATAATCAGGCCTGGAGTGTTTGAAACTGCTAGCCATAAAATGGAAGTACCTCTGAGCATGTGCAGTGTGCTTCCCTAGTTATCATAAGCACTTAGGGCCTGTTTGCACATAACTAGAATTAAGAAGGGAAACTAGAAGGGGAAAGAATTTGCCAGTTTCCCAAGTAGGTTAGGTCCAAAACACACTGCAGAAATAGCCCAATTTGAGACTGCTTTAACTGCCCTGGCTAAGTGCTAGGGAGTCCTGGGAATTGTAGTCGATTGTGGCACCAGAGGTCTCTGACAGAGAAGGCTAAATGTCTCACAAAAGTACAGGACAGTACCCAGAATTCCCTAGCATTGAGCCAGGGCAGTGAAAGCAGTCTCAAACTGGATGATTTCTGCAGTATGTTTTGGACCTTAGACTCCTGGCCATTCTGGTTTGGGAAGTGTCTGGATGTAGTAATCCAAAAAAGGAACTCTTCCAAGTTCTGTAATGAGGACCTCCAAAAGGTTTCTTCACCTTGACTGAAGTGAATGGGATGCCAATTTCAGAGTCAAAATATTTCCAGGGGCTACAAGACTAGCCCAAAGGGTCCAGGTCCTCAGTAGCATTGTCATTCTCACTTTACACAACAACCAGTGTGGTGCAATAGTTGGAAGAGTTGTCATCATCATCATCGTCATCATCATCATTTTTATTTCATTTATTTATATCCCACCTTTCTCCCAATATAGGGACTAAAGCTGGCATCATACTGAGGAGCATACGGAGGAGACCTGGGTTCAAAGTTGCCCAATCAGCTATACAATTTCGTTTGGTTTAACCTACCCCCAAAGGTTGTTCTGAAGGTAAAAATGGAAAGGAAGACCATATACCCCTCCTTGAGTTTCTTGGAGCACACATCTCCTTTAGCTTAAAGGCCAGAATATTCTGTCATCTCAATTTATTACATAATAATATAATAAATAAAGACAGTGAATATTGTGGCCTTTTAGGTCCAAAACACACTGCAGAGACAATCCAGTTTGAGACTGCTTTAATTTAATTGCCCTGGTTCAGTGCTAGGGAATCCTGGGCATGTAGTTTATGATGGCACCAGTGCTCTTGACAGAGAAGGCTCAATGTGTCAGAAAAAAATACAGTTCCCATGATTCCCTAGCACTGAACCAGGACAGTTAAAGTGGTCTCAAACTGGGTTATTTGTGCAGTGTTTTTTGGATCTAAGTTGAGGGAGGTACACTCCCTCCATATCCCAGTCTGGTGCTCTAACCACTGCACTCACTGTCTCTCTCCATTTAGCTGTTATGAGTACTGTAATACCCATTTATCTTCCACAGATGTGTATGACCTCCTTTGAAAACTGTCTAAACCAAGTTGCAGTAACTACATTTTGTAGTAAATTCCACCAATCTATGAATTATAAAACTTAACTGTAATTGTTAAATTAACTGTACTGTCCTATTTGTGCAGCAGATCCCATTGAGTTCAATGAGACTTACTTCTGGAAAAACGTCTATAGCAGTCGTGGAAAAAGTATTGCCCTCTCTATGTTTTTGGATGGGAACTCCCATCATTCCTGAACACTAGATGTACTGGCTGGGACTGATGATAGCTGCAGTCCATCAGCCTTTGAAGATAGGCACTTTGCCCATCCCTGATGTCCAGGATTGTAATCTGGTAGGTCTTTAATCAGATGACAGCTGTACACCCCTGGCTTCGAACCTCGGATCCCTAGATGTTATTGGATTGCAACTCCCAGAGTCCCCTTCCCTTTGGTCATGCTGGCTGGGGGTTCTAGAAGATGAGATCCAGTAACATCTTGGAATCCAGAATTGGGAACTGTTCCCTATGTGAGTCCTACCACCCCTCTTTTTAGAAAATAATGTTTCATTGGGATCAAATATGGTTTCTTGGTGATAGAAGAGGGCACTCCATTTATACTCAAAGGGTTTCTTTACATATTCCTACTGATAAGTCCTGCCATGCAATACTGATTCTGCTGGTAAACTCTGCCAAGTAGTGTCAACTCGGATTATACTCCGGTTGCTAGCAAAATGTGCCATAGAAAAACCTGGGCCTGCTAAGTCAGGAAATTGGGTTTTGGTGGAGAAGATTGGAAGGATGGAATAGCCCCACCAAGAAGTTAGGCTCAGCTGACCATGGCTTCAGACTGATGTTGAAAAGAAAAGTGGTGTTTACTCAGATCCGTGTTCTCATTTAGAAAGCTCAACAGCCTGTGGATTTGTGAGTGACTGTAGCTTTGCATGGTGTTTGTTTTAGCTTTGGAACAAACTTTATTAGCACATTTTTCAGTAAGAATGTAACAAAAAGAAATTAATCACAATATGGAAGCTCACGTATTAACACTGTGACAGGAAATGGTTGTTTTAGAACTTGTATTGTTACTTGGAGGTTAATGTGTTTTGATGGAGACCTGAGTATGAAATCTCATACTCAGAAAATAAAGAAAAATAAATTAAATTTGAAAGCATAGAAGCAGGTTAGCGAGATCTCCAGAACCTGAGGGTACCTTGTTGCACTACCATGAGTTGTGCATGGTAATAGCAGAAGTGTGAATACGCACTCATTCCTCATGATTGAATGACAAAATGAAAGGCGGACACTTCCATGCTTTTTGGAGGCCCTGTGCTCCATTACAACCAGGAAAATGAGCAGTTTCTCCCTTTTGTTGTTGTTGTTTTGTGCCTTCGAGTCATTTCTGACTTATGGCAACCCTTAGGCGATCCTATCATGGGGTTTTCTGGGGCTGAGAGTGTGTCATTCACCTAAGGTGGGTATCCAGGGCCGAGCAGGGAACTGAACCCTGATCTCCAGAGTTGTAGTCCTCTGTTCTGTTGAGCTTACAGCTCAGAGGTAGAATATGTACATGGCTTTGCTTGCAGGAAGACCCATGTAGGATTAGAAAAGAATTCTATCTGAAATCTTGGAGTGCCACTGCCAGGCAGAGTTTAACAGTACTGGATTAGATGGATGATTGGGTTTATTAGGCAGCTCCTTTTATAAAGAGTTGCTTACTGGGCAAAGCAATTCTGACAGAGGAAGCTGGGGTTCATGGCAGAAACTCTTGGCTTGCTTTGGTTGTGGTTGGGTGACTTTTTCCTCCTCTTCAGCTAGCTTTCCGGTTTTCTTCAGCTTCCTGTATGGCGTACATACCCTACTCAGGCTGCATCCACAGCTGAAATAATCCAGTTTATCACCACGTTAATTGCCATAGCGCAATACTATGAAATTCTGAGAACTGTACTTTGTTGTGGCACCAGTCTGGAACTGAAATGCAGCTGGAGCCACAGATCTGTAATCTTATTAGCATCATGCCCTTTCAACCCATCCTTTTGGTCGTAAACTATCTGCAAGACCAGGGAGTAGGCAACCTTTCCCCTTTAAGGGCCAAGGGACTTCAGCTCCCAGAAGCCTCAGCCATGTTGGCCAATAGTCCCATGTTGGCCAATAGCTCCTGGGATCCTGGGAGCTGAAGTCCCTCGGCCCTTAAAGGGGAAAGGCTGTCTACCCCTGCGCAAGACAGTGGCCATGGTGCTGTGGGCTCCAGAGATTAAGCCAGCAAGCTATTGTTAGGGGCAACACAAGATCCCCCCTACTTTCCCTCCCATTGTTCTTGCTGTTCTTGTTGGCCTTCAAGTCCTTTCTGATTTATGACGATGCTAAGGTAAACCTCTCACAGGGTTTTCTTGGCCAAACTTGTTCAGAGGGGATTTGCTTTTGCCTTCTGCTTGAGGCTGAGACAATGTGGCTTGTCCAAGGTCACCCAGTGGGGTTCCCTGGCTGAGTAAGAATTCGGACCCTTATCTGTAGAGTCTTAGTCCAGTGCTCAAACCATTATACTACACTGGCTCCTTCTCTTATATGCTGGAAAAGCTATGACAAAATGTGGCTTCCTTTTTGCAGCTCTTGGATGTCCATCCCCCAAATGTTTTGTTTCTGATTAGAAAATAATGTTGCTTCTGGACACCTCCTGAATTCTCTTTTAAAACAAGATCCATCTCCTTTTCCCCCAGCCCCAATATAGTATTACTAAACAAATTCTCTGAAGTGGAGGGTTTCCACTCAGTTTCAGCTCTGTTTTTGGGGGGGTGATGCCTGGCGTAGTGGTTTGAGTGTTGGACTGCGGCTATGGATTAGATTTGGCCATGAAACCCACTGAGTAACTTTGGGCAAAGCAATGGCAAACCTCCTCTGAACAAATCTTGACACGGAAACTTCATGCTAGGTTCCCCTTAGAGTAGATATAAATCGGAAGGCACACAACGACAACAACAAGCAGCACATGGGAGGAAACTGACCCTTGGACTTCTGGAGTTTGTTCATACCAGATAGCATGGAAAGAAATACTCTGGTTTGAACTGCAGTTTCTCCACAGTGTCTGAGCCAAATAGTTTGCCTTTGTTTTATAATCAT